ATTCTATTCATTCTAACTCACTGAATCCAGTGATAACACGGGAAAGCGCGTGAGGAGCTGGATTCAACGAGTGATACTTTATTCATTAGTTTTAGTCTCACAATACTAATTAGAGCAATCTAATAAACACTACTAGTAAAGAATACTACTACTACAAAGTACACGTTATTTCGTGCAAGAACACAAAATGAATGGAGCAGAATAAATCAGAAAATGCACAGGTAAAAAGGCAACAAAAGGTGCAATATTGGACCTGACAGCCTGACATCTTGACATCTCTCTGATGAAATCATTATTGCTTTCCGCGTCAAGTAGTAATAGTAGAATAAGAGCGACCGATCCCTCCCACCCGCCACGCAGCTACTAATGCGGCGTGTGCCAGTGGTTGGATCAGCAGGCTCCAGCGAGACGCGGTAACCCTAACCTTCTTCCCCCACAGGACGAGGGGTTAGGGTTACCCCAGTTTCCCATAGACCCTGCTTAAACCACCAACCCACACAACACTAGTAGACATAGGGGACCTAGGAAACTAAGCAAGGTACTCGTTACGTAGGCTGTTTGTCGTAGACAAAAAGCTCGTAGTATCATACTATCGAACCAACAGTTTGTCTTTCAAACTCTAATCATATTTCAAAGAATCGATTCAATTGCTGTAGTATGGTAAAGTCTTTTTCGTTTTTTCGTATCTTTGCATCGAGTGCTGCGATCTCAAGTATGTTGTCGATCACCAGGCCGGTTGTGGCATGGACCGTACGACAGAATTGTCGAGTAGCTCTGTCGTCGCTGGCGTCTGCTACTGGAAGGCTGACAAGAAGAAAACTATCGCTGGAGACTCTTTCCACTCTTCATGGAAGCTCCCTCCTTCCAGGCAAGTCATTACGCTTTGATTGCCTAGAAAATGTTAGACGAAGCACCGCCAAACGATTTATGGTTTCCAACGAACTCGGTACCGAGGTCAGTTTCCGTCCCGGTGATAAGGTCCAGGTTGAGGTTGTCAACTTTGGTCCGTTGGGTGCTAGCGTCGAAGTCATAGGCCTGGGACACGGAGATGATGTCCCTCTTTTGCCGGTCGATGCTCCCGAGGCTTACGGATACGGTCTGATCATGCAGAGGGAAATCAGTTTTTTCCGGAGTGCACGAAATAACGTGGATGTGGTCCGGGGAGAAATCTTGCCAGCCTACGTTCAAAAAGTGCGGGCAGAGGATGGCAAACTAGATATTTCGTTGCGGAGTTACGGCGGCAAAGCGAAATCCGCGGACGCGGGGACCAAGATTTTGGAACGATTGAAAGAAGTCGGAGGACGGTTAGAAATTGGGGAGAAATCGTCACCACAAGAAATTAACGATGAGTTTCCGGGGATTTCCAAAAGCGTGTTCAAAAAAGTGAGCGAGGCGTCATGTCTTCTTACGTTTCGTTTTCTTCCATTGCGTTGTGTTGTATTCTTTGATGTAGCGTTTGCTTCTTCTCGCCAAGTTGGAAGATTCCGACAGTTGTCCGACTCTGCCAAAAATTTCTCACCAATCAACTTTCTTGGATATGTCTTCATCTTTTATTCTTGCAATCCCTACGACCATCTCTTTTGGAACCTCGAAGGCCCTGGGAGGACTATACAAGAAGGGGTTGGTAAAGCCTGGTCCGAAATTAATTAAACTCATGGAGAAATGATTCTTTTATCTTGGCAACAATTGTATACACGAGGCGAATCATGCTAAAATTTGAATTGTGATACACTATGGACTACTTAATCATATAGGCAAACTTATACATGCTTTTACTTATATTCATGAGCCACCTGGAATAGTCAAGATCGCATTCGGCATAATACATGTGTTAATGATTAATTCATCAGTCTCGGAATTAGGCTCACCTTGGGAGATGATGAGAACCAAATGTAATCTGCAATCTTGGATTGATAATCTATAGTGTCTGGTCCAGTGCCAATCTCTAGGCGCAATTTTTCGCCCGCAGATAGTGTATCAAGGGCTGTTGGGTTGAGGAGTATCGTTGTCACGGCATTGTCTGATACCTTGTTAGTAACAGTTTGAGAGTTCACACCATTTGCATTGTTCTTTTCCACGAGGGATCCGAAGACTCTTGGGATTCGTCCGTTAATACCCTGCAAGTAGCGCACATCCGATATTGGCGATATCATCACCACCATTGATTCAGGTTTGTTCACGGTATATTTGGCTACGGCAGAAGCTCCTGCTTCGTGGACGAAAATTCGCTCGGCGAAGAAACCCTTGATGTTGTCTTCACTATTTGTTGGTTCAAAGTCTTTCAACAGAGATCTGTCCGTGTAGAGCTTATACCTAGGATCCTGGGTCATAGAAATGAAACCCTCTGGATCCAAAACATACGATTTGCGTCGTTCAAAGTCTACAGATGCCAAACCTTTGGTCCTTGCAGCTTCAATGTCCTGAAATTCGGGCGACAGGGCCAAGAAATCTACAGACTTGCTTTTGGCATAACGGATCAAGGGCATGTACAAGTCAATGGTTTCGCTTCCCACTCCAGCTCCCTTCAAGGCAGATTGTAACGTTGACTCATCCCCTGACTTTGTGAACGCATCCAAAGCAGGCTGTGACGACATGGGACAAAAGGAAAGACCCAACCCAGTGGCTAATTCCTCCCGCCGGCTTTGGAGGATTGAGCCCATGAGGCTCGTAGCCAAATCGATATCATTTGACGTCGTCTTAGAAGGCATTCCCATGCAGACGAATGATGCGTATCCCGGACCTACTTTACTTTCGTCTTTCGATTGGCTCACCGTCTGAGAAACAAAGTCAATCGAACCAAAAACGAGTTTGTTCATGAAGTTGTTGAGGTTAAGTGTATCGATCTTTATCTCTTCCTTATCCGTTCCCGACCCACCTCCCAATGCTTTCAGAGTCGCCTTTTCTTTTCTTGCACTAGAAAGTGGGAGCAGTGTTGGAGGTATCGTGGAGTCGACGCGATACGCCGTTGGTCGAACAGCAGGAGCGAAGCCATTCTCGTCCTCTTTTGTAGCAAACACCGGATCGGCTCCACCCAACAGGGCACTAGACATCGTTAAAGCAGTACCAACTACAGAACGACATGCATCCCGTCTCGACAATTCCGAGTTGCACAATCCTGAGACACAACCGTTGTCATTGGAGGGTTCGTCATTTTTAGATAACCCAGAAGCCAAAGACAAGGGCAAATGCGTCTCTCGTGCCAACTGAAAGCCCAGGCAACACTCTGTTTGGGCCAGAGCTAAAACCACCGTCAGGACGAGAGCGTGTTTCCCCATGCTCGAATGCGTTCTTCTAGTGACTTTTGATTTCGTTTGCTGATTTTCATGGAGGTCATCTGCAGGACTAACAACGATAATATCTTTTCATGCAACTTCGGAAACTGACGTGCCGACACATCAAAGTCAAAAAGTGATGTTCTGTGAAACAGTACCTACGAGATGACAGGTTTCCACGTGAAACATGACAGCAACAAAAGAAAACGAGTGCGAGATTCATACTACTACGTACGCGTTTCGTAACAATTGTAATCCACCAGTTGCTCGCTTTTCACGTGTAATCACGCGCGCTGGATTACGAAAAGATTACATGTAATCGCGCGCTAACAAACACTAGTTATTTTTCTGCTTAAATCTCGCACCTCGACGGATTACAAACCTGCAAAATGGATTTCATGTAATCCAATATCGAATTCAGCAACCTCACGAGAAAGAGCCTTATTTTTTCCACAGTAGCGCTAGTTGTTTGGCTGAATCGGATTACAACTCCGAAAACGAAATTTTTGCCATGGATTACTTTTTTTGAGGTCAATCACCTCCCCGACCAATTTTTTGTTTTCAAGTAGTAAGCTCACTCAACTATGTTGTCTTCCAATAATTTGCTATTATTGCGTGCTCTCTAAAGAAGATGAAAGTCTCCATCGGAGTGAACCCTTTTCACGTAGAAAAGTACCTGATCTCTACGTAAGTGGAAGGGCAACGCGGAGTGAAATCTGTCGAAAAAAAATAGAGAACTCCTCCTTCGCGAAAAAAGTATCATCGGAACTTCGAAGTCCCCTAATTTTTTGCAACAGCAGTACGTCCTCTCTAAACTAGATGAAAAGGTTCATTGGAGTGAACCCCTTGACGTACATAAGTACCCCATTTCTACGCGATTGGAAGGGCAACGCGGAGTGAATCTGCAAAAAAAGAAATAGAGAACTCCTCTGTCTTGAAAAAAGTATCATTGCAACTTCAAAGTCCCCTAATTTTTCAACAGCAGTACGTCCTCTCTAAAAAAGATGAAAAGGTTCATTGGAGTGAACCCCTTGACGTAGATAAGTACCCCATTTCTACGCGATTGGAAGGGCAAGGCTGAGTGAATCTGTCGAAGATAAATTAGAGAACTCCTCCTCGCTCACAAAAAGTATCATGGTTAGGACCAGAAGCAACAAGAACAACCAACAACAAGGAGCTCCCAAAGGTCTTGGCGGAAGACGTGGGAACCGCCGCTATGGTGCGTGGCCTGACTTGGCCCATTTGTTTGATGAGTCGTCGACTCAGGAGTCGGATATCGTGAAGAAGGAACTGTTTCGTGCAAGGAACAGGAGAGGGGATGATATCTCCTTTTGCGTTGATGACACACCAATCAATGTTGATGATCAACCAACATTGCAAGCACGCCGGCAACCAATGATGCTGTCGAAAGACCATCGCAACCAGGAGAAGGTAGTGGCGGAAAGCAGAGCCCAAAGAGCAGGAAGAAGAGCAAGAAGAGTTACGATGAGCGAAGATAAATCCCCAGCACCCACATCTCCTGCGCTTGACTCAACAGTAGCAACAAAATCAGCTCCCCCCTCCACCATTGTCCGGAATCCATACGCAAAGAAGTACAAAACAAGCAAGGCCCAGCCTCCGGCACCCCCACCACGCCGTGTTTCCACTGATCAACGACGCGTCGCAAACAACAAAGATCCTCCCTCCTCCTCGACAGCCCCAAAGGATCCTAACCACAACACGTCTAATCCGCCACCAGCAGCTGCTGGTAATGCTGCTATTGTTGATTATGCAAGGACAATCAGAGACAATGCGAATGCTTTCAACACTCTTGGAAGTGACGAATACCAGAATGCAGAAGCAAAGACCAAGAAGTATGCAAAGACCATTAGAACTATTCATCAAAATTTTGTGGAGATTGTTGCTGCAGCGACGGATCCAGCAAAGAATGAACCAGGGGACAAAGTTATGTATGAGATGTTTACAAAGAAAGAGGTAATGGAAGATGGGCTGACTGAAGATTATTTATTCTACAAGCATGTATCCGGAAAGACTAACGCTGTGAGCAAGCAAATAATGGATCGTGCCCTCAAAGTTTGGGCAAAACACATGAAGAACACAAAGACTGGTGCTCCACTTGACACCAGCACTATGAGTGTCAGGGTTAGATAGCTCTTTGTTGCTCTCCATGAGAGAGATGTAAGATTCAAGGAAGGAGATTTCAAAACAAAGGGGGGCTTTCTTGCCTTTCTTAAACATGATTACAATTCAAAGCGTGAAGCTGATCCTTCCATCGGAACCAAGAGGACAAAGGCTGAGTTTGATGAGTTTGTTGATGAGAAGTTCCGGAAGGTGTTGACTGATGGTATTTATAAGCCTTATGAGAACATGCAAGACTTGGTGAAGCTTATAGCTATGGAGCTTGGAAGACAGTTCGGAATAAGAGGAGGAACAGAGCTTGTTGGACTGATGTGGACACATGTAAGAATGGGAACCTTCAACCACGGAAGCATGAAAGGATTGAAGTACGTAATCATTGCTCCTGGAGGAGGGTTCGATAAGTCACACCAGCTTTCACTGAATAATCCAACCGCAACAAAGCAGTTCCCTTGTGTGGTGGAAGATCCGGATAATCCAAATTGTATTGTAAAGCTTATGAATTTCTACAGGAACCGGTGTGATCCAAAGCAAGCAAGGTTCCTTTGTCATCCTAACTTGAAGAAGAAGAAGAACAACCCATACCACTTCAAGAGCTTGTCTCCTGTTGGGGTAGGATCAGTCCGTGCTTGGGTTAAGGAGTTTGCTGAGGTTGCTGATTTCAAGGATTGGGAGAAGTATACTCCTCACGATAACCGCCACTGTTGCTGCACTATCCTTGCTTCTGATCTTGCTGTTCCTGAAAAGATGAGGATGAACCATCTCCGACACAAGAGTAGCAAGTCTGCAGAGCCATATATTCACCAAAATTCAGTTATTCAACAAGCTGTACAAAGTGTGCTTCATGGTGGGCTCCACCGTGACAAGAAAGGACCTTCAGGAAGCTCAAAAGCAGCAGCAACAAAGCAGGATGGAGAAGATAAAAACAAGGAGGTCTTTGTGGTGTCGGAAGAAAAATTGGCAAGAACCAGCGATAGTACCGTTGACAAGAAAGCAGTTCTTGCAGGTTCATCTCCTATTGCGGATTCGGCAGCTCCTTGCCTGCAGGATACGGTCTTCTTCAAAGTAATACTAGCAAGGAAATAATTACTCCTACAAAAGGAATTCTGAAGCAACAGCTTGTCATGGCAAAAAAGGAAGCTGAAAAGAGGAAAGATGAATCCAATGAGTTCGAACAAGCAGGAAAGGAAGATTCGATGCCAACTGGAAGATGCCCAGAAAACTATTTTGGATCTCGAAAAGCAGCTTTGTTCACTTGAGAAGGACCTGCAAGATAAAAAGCTCTCTGAAAAAATTCAGGAGACAAAGGATGAATATAATCAGAAGGAACTTGCTTGGGAAAAGAGCAAAAGAGCACAGCTTGAAAATGAACTCAAAATGTCACAGCGCTTAAAGGAGATCGAGGAGGCGCGTCGAGGAGTACAGTCTTCTTGTGTTATTATGTAAAGCAACGTCATTCGGCGGTGTTTCTTCTTGTTTATTTCACACCGGATTTAGTGTAAGAATCAGTAAATGAAAATATTTGGAACAATTACTAGTCGCTGTAGATAGTAAGCTTGAATCCTCTATCGACGAGGGACCTCCGGATACTACCAGCAGTAGTACTAGCTTCTTCGATACAAATATCATCGCTTGTCACCACCATGCTGGTGGATCATCATGTAGTGGTGATTACACGTGAAAAGCGAGCAACAAGTGGATTACATAAATAATCGGAGAGCTACTCGCAGCAGTCGAAGCAGTAATCAAACTTCAGACTCGGTCTCGAGCAAAGCTCTCGACCTCATCTTCAGTTTGATTACTGCAGTAATCCAACTTCGGCCTCGGTCTCGAGCAAAGCTCTCGTCCTCGGCCTCAGTTGGATTACTTGTGTAATCCGTATGTAATCTGATCATCCGTACTCTGGAAAACGCTCCTTAAGGGAAAAAAAAAATTATGTGCGGTCAAGCGCGCCGAGTACCTCGCCGATTATATTACATAGTCGTCGAGTAGCTCGCTTTTCGCGTGTAGTCACGCGCACTTGATTATGAAATGATTACATGTAATCCCGCGCTAACAAACACTAGTTAATTTTTTACTTAAATCTTGCACCTCGATGGATTACAAACCTCCAAAATTGATTACATGTAATCAAAAATTGTATTCAGCGCTCTCCAGAGCAAGACCCTTGTTTTTTCCACTGTATCGCTAGTTGTTTGGCTGAATTGGATTACAACTCCGATAACAAAATTTTCAATTTTCACCATGGATTACTTTTTTTGAGGTCGATCCAATTTTTTGTTTCCAACTCAGCTTAGTTTGCTGTATCACTCAACTTTGCACTCTTCCAATATTTTGCGATTAACAGTATGTTCTCTCTAAAGAAGATGAATCTGTTCATCGGAGTGGACCCTATCATGTAGAATAGTACCGGATATCTACATGATTGGAAGGGCGACACGGAGTGACTTTATCAAAAAAAAAATAGAGAACTCCTCAAAAAAGTATAATGGTTGGGACTGCTCTTCCAATATTTTGCATTCTCTCTAAAGAAGATAAATGTGTTCATCGGAGTGAACCCTTCGACGTAGCAAAGTACCTGGCTGCTACGTGATTCCAAGGGCAACAAGGAGTGAAGTCGTCGAAAAAAAAATAAGAGAACTCCTCGCTCACAAAAAGAATCATGGTTAGGACCAGAAGCAACAAGAACGTACTGCAACAAGGATCATCCAAAGCACCTGGAAGAAGACACGTCAACCATGGTGCAAGGCCTGAATATGGCCACATGTTTGATGCGTCCTCAACTCAGGACTCGGATGTTGTGAAGAAGGAACTGTTCGCTGCAAGGAACAGGAGAGGGGACAATATCTCCTTTTGTGTTGATTCAACACCAATCAATGTTGATGCCCCCCCTGGCTTGCAACAACCACCACCAATCTTCACGGCTGGAAACAGCAGAGCGTTGAGATCAGGAAGAAGAGCAAGAAGAGTTACAATGATGAGTGAAGATACCTCCTCCTCCGCACCCACTTCTCCTGCAGTTGACCCAACAGCAGCATCAAAAGAAGCCCCCCCTCCACCATTGTCCGCAATCCATACGCAAAGAGGTACACAAGCAAGAAGGTTGGCCTCCCCCCACCGCCACCAGCACATGGTGGTTGTG